TGAAACAACCAAAAACTGACCCTGTAACTCATGTACATTCAGGTGGGCCCAAATTTTGCTGCAAACCCAACTCGGGAACCACCTTCAATAGTAAGACCGCGCCCCAAAAACAACCAGCCAAACATCATACTCTAAGTCGATTCACGAAGTGAATGCAGGCAACCAGAGAAGCAAGCACCCAAAGCATCGCCGCAACTGGGTAATTGTGGCATGGTTTTTGCACGTCTAAAGGTAACCCAGCTGAACATGACACATGGGGTCTACTCCTATGGCCAAATATGTCGTCATAGATGGCCTAACAGGGCTCACAGGACTTCGCCTTAAGTTACAGCCTGGTGTCCATTGAAGCGATTGCTTTGGAAGGTTTTTCAAGGGACATGGCTTAATCTTGTGCCGCTAAAGTGCTCCAAACCCAAAAGGTGACTAAAAGTCCAGGAACTCAGGGAGTGAGGCTTTGGTTTCCATTTAAACCCAACCAAATTGGGGCACCAACTCCTAAAAAAGGGGTGTCCGGCTGAACCAAAAACAGGGCCCGCCCATTTTTCCTCTTAAAACACCAGCCCTATGAAGGGACACTCACCGTTCATGGTTGCCAAAAAGGTGATGATTGAAAGCACCGCGGTCCTTTCGAGACTACCCCCTCGTGTGAAGGTAGCCTTTAGTCATGCCATCCTTGCGCGCCACACGTTGTGCCGTCTTTGTGAACGGCCTCTGACTCAAGGAGATCACCCTCATGCCATGGTATCTCAACAGCATGAGAACGTCTAAAAAAAGAGTTCGGGGATGTTTCAAACTACCAAGGGAATCCCAGATGCCTAGTGGCCATGGGAAAAAAAGGAATCGGCATCCTTTTTTGGTTGACTTTAAAGGGAAACCCGAAACCCCAACAAACAAGTCGGACAAAAAATAAAAAATGGAATCCACAGGTTGCACCTGGGGTTGAAATCTAGGGACCCCCTGAAAAACGCCGCCCCATTCTCTCGCACCTCCAGATTGGCCAGCACCTGCAGTGAGCCGTCCATGTCCTGCCAGGGGTGTCAGCGTCCCAAGTGGGTGGCTCGTCTCTTTTCGGGGAACCCCTTTTGTTTCATGTTGAAGAGAAAACCAAAAGGACAACCAACACCTTGTGGTTGTTTTTTTTATTTGGGGGGGGGGGCAAACAAAGGACACACCCTACCAAAATATGTTTTTTCCCTTCTTCTTTAATTTTCCTGGGGGCACCCTAAGTGGTGGCTTGGCTTGCATTGGAGGTGTCCGGGGGAAACCAACTACAAGAACCAAGGGATCTTGCTACACCAATCCAACAGCCAACCCGAACCAGGGGTTCCTGTTACCCGATCCAAACCAAGCGGTTTCCGAGTGTCTCTTGCAACGGCCAGTGCTTGGGTGGGAAGGGGCCAGTGATGGAATTAATGACTTCTCACTGCTCCTGACTCTCCGCGACCCCCAAATGGTGTGCTTAGAATCTGGCAACCGTTGGTCTGTAGAAAAAGTACGGCTCCTGCATGTCTCTGTCAAGAGCTCTGTCAATGTACTTGTGGTTGTGGGGGGTGGATCTTGAGTTTATTCATTGTAAACCGAACCTGGACGGTATTCCAGAAGCTCGCCCATCGCAAATCAGCTAACACGAGCCCATTGAGTCTGAGTTAAACCTGAAGCGGTCCACCCAAAAGCCGTGGTAAAGAACCAAGCTGTTCAACTGGGGGAAAACAGTTGTCCGGACCTTTAGCAAAACTGTCCCATCCCTGCCAGGCACCAGGGGTTTGATTGATCGCTCAAACCGGGCTGAGACAAACACCACCCCCTTGCAGATGTCTTGCTCCAAAATCCAGCTCAGTGGCGTCTGCAGAGAGATGGCGAAAGCCAGAAATCCTCTCTTCAACTTCATGTTTCAGGGGGTGGGCATACAAACTAAAGAAAAACAACAACAATACAATAGTTATGTTCAAAGAGATGATTGGATTCCAGGGAGCACGTTTGCTACCGATAGCCACAGCCACGCACACAGGGATTCGACCGATAAGGAGCGTTCTTGTAATATATGAGGCCACAAGACACGCCAGCAGGTTTGTCCTGTAGCATGTGGAATCCACTTTTCCGTCACTCAACCATATCGCCCACAATGACGCATTGCATAGTCTCTCTTTTCAAAAGAACGGTGGTCTTCCAAAGTGGCCTGCGCCCCAAGCGTCTCTTAAGCAAAAAATCGCGAGAGCCTTCTGTGGATGCTCGGCAATGGCAACACTGGCAGGCCAATTCTCGCAAAACTCCTTGTGCTCTGCAAAGTCAAAGCCCAAAAGGGAGATTATCTAGGTCCTCCAGCAGAGAGGTTAGAATAAGGGTACCCTTTTTCTCTGGTCTATTTTAGTAGGGGAACCCTCCCCCAAAAAAGTTGGTCAAAGGGCACAACTGGGGGACCTAGTTGTACTCGACCATGGCGCCCATGGAAGCAAGCGCCCCATCCAGGATTCAGTTACTCTCCAGGCGCCAAGTGGAACGGGCACTTCCCGTTTCACGCCAAGCGAGGCTCTTCGGAACCAAGAAGTCCCGATGACGCCACACGGCCCCCCCCACTTGGCAGCCAAAAACCTGCTCCCACCTGGGTCCTGCGAACCTGTATCGAATTGCTAGAGCGGCCAACACCCAGATCAATGAGTCCCCGTCGGTGCACTCCCCGTGGTTGAAGTCGAGATTGACAAGCTCAAACCGTGAAGGGTTTGGCTTTCCTTCTTTGAGGGTACTCTGTTTTAGGTTGGTTTACAGGAAAAAAAGGAACATGAAACTGAAAATCCATTTTGGGGGGCCGTCCCCTTAACACACAAAAATCACCGCCCACTTGTTTTGCTGCCGTGCGGGCAACAAAAACAACCGCTCGCCGCGAGGAGCCAAGCGGGAACCTCACCTCACCGCGCCTCGTGCAGGAGGCGGGCGAAGACCACCACCAGCTCCTTTCGCAAACCCTTGGCAACCGGTCACTCCGATCCCTGGATCTTTTCCTAGCTCATCTGAGCCACGTGCTCAAAACCCGGGGATGGATGAAGGTAAGGGGCAGTCGCCAGAAATAGTTGCGGACATCCGCCTTCTTACATGGTTCTGGGTAGACCATTTTGAAAACCGGGTTTTGATTGTGACTCATATTCGGGGTTATTACTCACTTATGACTTTGGGGCTCTCATAAATGAGTAAACTTGGAGATGACACAGTGTAACCTTCAATCCCGTTGCCACGGAGAGAAATGCTTTTGTTTCCTCGCATTTCCAAAACTGACATACACACGTGCCATACGATTATGAATGTAGCTCACTTCAATCAGAACAAAAGCCCGGTACTAAAGTGGTCTACCCAGAACCATGTAAGGAATTAGGAAGGCGGCCGCACCCATTTGTGGCCAGGGGATTGTCCCTTACCAACCTTCACTTATCCGAATTTTGAGCACGTGGCTCACTTGGAACATCGACTGCCTGGACACTTTGCCACAATGGACCAGCCAATACGACATTTGGGCCCACAAGGTTTGGGCAAACTCCCCCAATCCATTTTGGCACTCGCCAAACCCCACCTTTCAAACTGTCCTCTTGGCCCCCAAACTGGAAAAATTGAAGAAACAAAAACAAAGCTTAAATTGCAAAAACTATTGCCACTTCTGCCGATACTTACTCACTTCACAGTCTTAAAGGTCGCCAAACTGGTGGCCGGACACAGCAAGGTTCTGATTACATGTTAAAAAACCAAGGCTTTACAAGCTCACAAAAGGTACCCCCCCTTTAAAAATACAACGCCATCCTCATTAGTTCTGGCACTCTCCAGCCTTGACAAACACAGTTTTCGTTTAGTTTCCTATCACTGTCCGGGCCAGAGAGGCAAGATGGCCGGAGATGACCAAGGATAAATCGGGGCCAAGGGGACCCTCCAAAGTCCGTTTGTCCGGACCTTGTCGACTTTGAGGCGGGGGGGGGTGAGGACATTGAACGAGGTAGCCCAAGACAACCTTTATATGAGGGCCTTGGACCCCCAAAGGCCTCAAATCATGTGGCCATGGGTCAAATCCAAATCGTACCCCCAGTGAACATCCCAATCCCCACTGACATGGACTAGAATGGGTGGTGAATTCACCTACCAACCAAAAATGGATCAACCAACACGGTTTTGACCACCACAGCCATGTGGTCCAAGGGGCCCCGAAGCGCGCCCACCGTCGTGCGCCTGGCGCAGGTAGGGCCGCTCCGCACGGCCCAGGCGCACCACGAGGGCACGTAACAAGGCCACCTGCGTCTTGCGATCGGTGCGAGAGATGCCATGGGAATGAGAATTGGAGTCTGAGCCCCGAGAAAAACCACCACCAACTGCTATGATGTCCTGGCTAGCCTTTCTTCGGGAATCCCAGGTTCATTCCCTACTGAGCACCAGCAAGATATGCTTAGGCGACCCGAAGAGCGATTGGCCAAACAGGTCCAAAACATGAAAGGAATCCCCAAGTAAAGGGATCTTTGCATGAGCTCGTTTTGCCTTCCGAATCGGTGAGCTTGCCAGAGATTAGGCGCATCGTTATGTTTGGGCGACTAGAAGAGTGTGTGTCTCTGCGTTGGTTTTTTGATGTTTTGAAGCTACCCTCACTCCCACGTTACCACGGCTCCCATGACGGCGGGTCCCTCCAAGAGGATCTTGATCTTCCAGGTACCCTGCTTTGGGCACGGTTTCGATCTTAGGGGGTGCACCTTGCCCATTTGGCTTCAAACAGAATTGGACGGTCAAACTGCAAAACCACAAATCCAAACAACCAACTATGAGGTGCCTGATATCTTGCTTGTGGATTCCTTCCTTCAGGGGTGTGTGTGTGTGGTTTTGTTATACTTCCCCTAAAGCCACAATTCCCAAGGTTTTTCCCACCGAAATGGCCATGGCGCGCTCCCAACAAAGGTGAACACAACACATTGGCATGGAACGTAAACCAACCGGATCCGAAATCCGGAGGTGACCATTTGGAGTATCAACCGCAACCGAAACCAGGGCCGCTGGAAAGACCAACCTAGACATCGCGTTTGGTTCCGGCTTTAGAATTGTTTGCAAAGTGAAGTCTCAGGCAATCCCACAGATCCGAAGAACCTCCAAGCTGTGTCAAACAGGTGGATGCTATCTGTCCGAATCACTTAGGGGAACAACACTAATCAACTTATCCGCCAGATTAATTGATCCGGAATCAAACTACTTTGCTGGTTCCATCTTGGTTCAGCGGGGAATCCGAGGATTAGGGCACAAACAGGGTTGAGGACAACCCGCACACACACACACAGACAAACCACTTATGCGATGCCACTGGTGGGCCTTGCTGATGACTTCCCCGGACAGGGTTGAGGCAGCTACTTGTGCGCAAAGCTTCATGAAAGCAACAACCAGCGCGGTCGCAGCGTGGTTGCAAACCTGGATATCATGATTTAAAGTGGGCTTCACTAGGGATGAACTTCTTGTCTAGACATCACAGCCAAGCGTTTGGCAGGAAGGCAACACTAGGATTGGACCCACCGGCTTCTGATGCATGTCCAAACAGCGCTTGATTGCAAGCACATATGATGGGTTGTGATGTAGGCAACTGGGAGCTACTGGGAACCCCGAAATGGCTCGGCGCCATTTTAAGGCATCATCCAGGCACAGCTACCCTTGTCGAACTGTTCCATGGCTTCCCCAAACATTCCAGGTGCCAATGCCGCTGTTGCCCGGTTTCCCCATCCTTCTCCATGTGGATTTGACCAGCTCCAGGGCCTTGAACTTCCATGCCAATTGGTTACCGGATTCAGGGCTTCGGATATGTGCTTCATGTATAGGGTGATTTGTCCTTGGGTGGCTTGAGGGAACCCAGCCCCTAAAGCAGGATAAAGCAGGAAGGCATTTACTACCACTGGAGAAGTGGAAACTGGAAGTGGTTGTTCCCGAAAATTCTCTAATTCAGGAATCTTCACCTGAAGTTGGCGTCAGATTCCGCCTGCCGTAGGATGGCGTAGAAAGACCAAAAAGGACACCGCGCTTGTTGAGGCGTCAGATCGTTTGGGACACGTCTGAGAAATTTGCCGAATCGGGAATGGCGCACGCGCTCTTGTCGAGCCCTTGCACTTCGCAGGGCGTCCAACCCCCTCCACACCTTTAAAGCGACTCGATGTTCGATGTGGAAAACATGAAGAATCACACGGAAGGTGACGCACTATTCTACCAGAATCATGAGGTAACTTAAATTAATGGAAACAATTAGTGTGTAAGAGCTAAACAACTGAATGGCACAAGTAACTGAACTTGACTTGACTTAAAGCCGCACCGTAAGAGCCGAACAACCCGTGTGCTCTGCATCCATCAAGCCAGTGAGTCATTGAGAGCTGACAAGCTGGCCTGCATCTGCGCCGGCAAGACGCGACCTGGCAAACGGGCGGCTGGTGGTGACTCTTCGGGGAAGACTCCGGTCACTTCAGCGATTCAGGCACTTCCATTTGCTTTTCATCCCACTGGAAAAAAAAGAAACAGTACCTCCAGAGATAGATTCCTGGTAAAACCAACAAGGGAAAATACAAAATCATATATTAAGCAAATGCAAGAGTCTATCCAAGAATTCGGCAAGCCAGTGCTCGAAAAATCGACCGCGGGACCGGAAAGAGAGCCCCGGACCTCATTCTTCACACCCAAAAGCTTCCAAGAAACTCGCCAAAATGAGCGACCAGGTGATGTCAACAGGGAAATCCTCATTTCAGGGTGATTTCCCGAAGAAAAACAGGTGATGTCAACAGGGTGAATTCCCTTAAAAAACAATTACAGGTTGAAATCCTCTACAAAAGCCCGCACAAACAGGTGGGGTGTCAAGAAGACACCAACAAAAAGGGTCAACCGTTTCTTGCCCAAGCCCTAACTCCGCGTGACTTTGTCGTGGTAAAAGGGGGTTCGCAAGGTATCAGAGGAAAACAAATGCCTCCCAATGTTTGCCTTTAAACATCACCGCGGCAACACACAACTCACCTTAAAACAAGCAGCAAGCAAAGCACATGTTGAAAGAAGCCCAAGGAACACGGGGAGTCCGGGATAGCACCCCAAACCGACTTCTGAAAATGGAGGAACCACGCCACATGGCCATGGGTCAAAACCCAGTACCCCAAGTGAACATCCCAATCCCCACCAAAATAGGCTCTATGGGTGGTGAATTCACATATCCCAAAATGGGATCCCATTAATTTTCACCCACAGCCACATGGATTCTTTCTGGCTTCTTACTTTGCGTGCTGGGGATGCGGCCATAGTGCGCGAAGAGTAGCATGGCAAGGGGCCTCAGAAACCGGGCTGCAAGCCAAACCCATCGGATGGAAGGTCACGGTTGACCTGTTCATGATGTTCAAAGCAAATATATAGCTATATATATAATATACAAATATGCAAATGTAAATATGTGTCTATGTAGCAATGACATATGTAGCAAACCTTATGATAATGTATAATATACACAGTCCCCTCTATGGCTCTCCTCGAGGGATTTGCCTCGAGCGATCCTTCCAGTGTGTGGGCTGCAAGGAAACCGTGGCCACGTGGAGTGCACTCAGGTTCCAGGTCTGCTTTTGGACTAATATGGAGCTATATGGCCATGGGTCAAAATCCAAATCGTACCCCCAGTGAACATCCCAATCCCCACTAAGATAGACTAAAATGGGTGGTGCACCTACCAACCAAAATGGGATCCCAATCATACCCCCAGTGAACATCCCAATCCCAACTAAGATAGACTAAAATGGGTGGTGCTCCTACCAACCAAAATGGGATCCCAATCGTACCCCCAGTGAACATCCCAATTCCCACTAAGATAGACTAAAATGGGTGGTGCACCTACCAACCAAAATGGGATCCCAATCGTACCCCCAGTGAACATCCCAATCCCCACTAAGATAGACTAAAATGGGTGGTGCACCTACCAACCAAAATGTGATCCCAATCGTCCCCGCAGTGAACATCCCAATTCCAACTAAGATAGACTAAAATGGGTGGTGCACCTACCAACCAAAATGGGATCCAGATCGTACCCCCAGTGAACATCCCAATCCCCACTAAGATAGACTAAAATGGGTGGTGCACCTACCAACCAAAATGGGATCCCAATCGTACCCCCAGTGAACATCCCAATCCCCACTAAGATAGACTAAAATGGGTGGTGCACCTACCAACCAAAATGGGATCCCAATCGTACCCCCAGTGAACATCCCAATTCCCACTAAGATAGACTAAATGGGTGGTGCACCTACCAACCAAAATGGGATCCCAATCGTACCCCCAGTGAACATCCCAATTCCCACTAAGATAGACTAAAATGGGTGGTGCTACCAACCAAAATGGGATCCCAATCGTACCCCCAGTGAACATCCCAATTCCCACTAAGATAGACTAAAATGGGTGGTGCACCTACCAACCAAAATGGGATCCCAATCGTACCCCCAATGAACATCCCAATTCCCACTAAGATAGACTAAAATGGGTGGTGCACCTACCAACCAAAATGGGATCCCAATCGTACCCCCAGTGAACATCCCAATTCCCACTAAGATAGACTAAAATGGGTGGTGCACCAACCAACCAAAATGGGATCCCAATCGTACCCCCAGTGAACATCCCAATCCCCACTAAGATAGACTAAAATGGGTGGTGCACCTACCAACCAAAATGGGATCCCAACCGTACCCCCAGTGAACATCCCAATTCCCACTAAGATAGACTAAAATGGGTGGTGCACCTACCAACCAAAATGGGATCCCAATCGTACCCCCAGTGAACATCCCAATTCCCACTAAGATAGACTAAAATGGGTGGTGCACCTACCAACCAAAATGGGATCCCAATCGTACCCCCAGTGAACATCCCAATTCCCACTAAGATAGACTAAAATGGGTGGTGCACCTACCAACCAAAATGGGATCCCAATCGTACCTCCAGTGAACATCCCAATTTCCACTAAGATAGACTAAAATGGGTGGTGCACCTACCAACCAAAATGAGATCCCAATCGTACCCCCAGTGAACATCCCAATTCCCACTAAGATAGAGTAAAATGGGTGGTGCACCTACCAACCAAAATGGGATCCCAATCGTACCCCCAGTGAACATCCCAATTCCCACTAAGATAGACTAAAATGGGTGGTGCACCTACCAACCAAAATGGGATCCCAATCGTACCCCCAGTGAACATCCCAATTCCCACTAAGATAGACTAAAATGGGTGGTGCGCCTACCCCATGGCACCATTGGTTTTGACAACCACAGCCATATAAACAAACACCGACGGACTCCATCCATGCTCAGTTGAAGCGCCGCAGTGAGGTGCTGAAATGTTGGAACTGGGGGCTACATAGAGGGTCTGAGCAAGACACAATATTAACATATTACTTGTCGTTCCCTTTGGGAACATGAAACTGCAAGCTGACTCTGTTTCGAAGCAATCATGGCAAGCACGCTTGCAACCGCAAGGAGTACCGAATCAATCCGTGAAGCGCCGGCTTTAGGACACGCTCCCCTTCGACGGTCACGCTCAGCAAACAACAAGAGCAAGCAAAAACAAAAAGGCGACAATTGAACAATTAACGTTCACCAAACTGGCCAGAGGGGTTCTGCGGCATGGCATCTCGCACTGTCAAATCTGGAAACTGTGTGCTGCGATGTGTAGAATGGAGTGTCATGGGAGACCAATATAAAGGAAACCCCAGAGACAAATTTCCGAATGCCTTGGCCATCCTGACCCTTGTCGGAGGCTACTGTGATGCTTGTTGATTCCACCGACCGCTGGCCTTGTGACACCCAACAACAATTCTTATAAGCGTGACAAGCGGGCGAACAAGATGGGAGCGAGTGTTTCTTTGACCACCATTTTCGGGTTCATCTATGTTAGACAACCCACACCTGCCACGGCACTCAACCAATCCTGCCTTTTCCTTCGAGCTGCTGTTCGCGCAACAGCGCCGTTCCGCCCGCTCGCAGGGAGACAGGAATGTCTTCCAAAACATCTGCACAACTTATTGTTCAAATGGACATACTCTGAACAACTACTAACTTCCTATACCAAAGTTTGTTTTTCCATGAAGGGTGACCGCCTGTTCAAATCTCGTGGCAGCCTGAAATCTGGACACGGCCACTGCAAGACTGAAAGGCGAGATTCAGTGATGAGCCTGCAAGTGAGACAGGCCACACCACTTCGTCAGCATAATTCCTTAAGTGGAAGGGAATTTCGCGATGAACCCGTTCCATCTATTCGGTCTCGTCATTGCACCATACCCCCAGCTCGCTTGTCTCCCCAGTCGGCAGAAGGTGAGGACGTCCGAAGGCCCAAGGCTTTGGCTGCCGGCTGCCCCTCTCAAAGATTGTTCAAGGGGGCGTCTCACAGTTTCAGATTTCCCTATGTCCCATGGACACGGCACCAAATTGAATGCGGAAACCACAGGAGTTTTGGCCCACAATATGGCAACCACCTTTGACAGCATTCGGCAAGTATATACAGTGTTCTGGGTCCCTTAAAGTGACATCCTCAAAATCAGCCTCATGATAGCGCAAGGTTTGTCTACAACGAAAATTCTCGAAATTGTTGGTATCCTTTGGCCAATGTTGGTTGCAAACCAACCCCAAAAAAGGAAACTCTCCAAACCAACGGTAAAAACAAAAAACAAGGCCAGAAAAGACAAAACCAGATTTCCCAGCTGTTTGGTGCGCATGCCTCGCAAATGATTGTGCTTGTGGCAACAGCCATTGCTTGACAAGCAACATCTCCCACACGGCAGCCGTTTTGCACCCAACATGCGGTGTCTGGACAAGAAGTTTGCTGAAACCCACTTTCGGCAGAGACCGTCGGACCTCTGGGCCCAAATCAGGTGCGTCTTGCTTGCTGAGACCCGTCTGTCAGAGTGTGGGCCCGCTGGAAAATTCACTGAGTTTCAACCAAAAAGTTGAAGTCCAAAGATCCACCCCATCGCCACAAAGATGTTCGATGGGAGGGTACCCAAAAATTCCAGCTTCCCGATTGATGGCTTGGCGGTGTTCTGGCGGAGCCCCATTTACTCCCCCCGCTAAAATCTTGATACCCCAAACCAGCCATCCAAACCACCGAATAAGGGTTGCCAACAAATTTCCAGCAATCCAAACCACCAATAAAGGGTTGCCAACAAATGTCCATCAGCTTCCCTCTGATTGGTGTTTTGGAGGATTGCCGACCACTTTTCCCAGCGCACCAACCCCAGAACAATCCTCGCATGGCTCAGCTTACCTCGCAACCGCGTTGGTCGCCACGATGACGGTGCCATTCCTGCAAGCCCGCTTGACGAAGGCCCAAAGGCCGGCAGGCAGAGACCAGAAACAGAAGCCATAGTTTGAGCAAAAACTGGAGAACCCGACTGCATCAGAATTCTCATTTGCCCCTTTAAAAAAGGGGATCACTCTCTCCTAGTTCATCCGAAGCTGGCATTTTCCAAAGCTGGCAGTATCCCCGAATTTCTGGCGCGGTAAAGATTCAAAGACCCAGCCGGACAAATCAGCGATTTCACCAATCCAACACAATGAATGGCTCCTTGTAAAACGGATCCTCCTCACAGTCGATGTCGCACACTGCAATTGTTTTTTTCCCCCAGGACCCAGATCCGACGACTTTGGGCACGGCTAGGTCAATAAGGTGCCTCGCGATCCGAGTTACAAACACCTCAGGATTCCTTTCCTTTGTGCACCTGCGTACCTTCCAAGTAATGATCTCAAACCAGTCTCAGCCACGCGACTTTGGGCACTCCAGAAGGCAACCGCAGCGATTGTTGCGGGAGGGACCTCGACCACTGTCAGCAAAGCACCCTGCTTATGATCTATGTATCTGTAAATACGCATACACATACATACAAAAACACATTCGTACATAAACAGACACATATATATATATATATATGTATATATTACTCCACCAGCGATGCAGGGCACACCACACCCAAAACTTAAATCATGAGTTTGTGACAGTGTCCGTGTGCATACGCCCAAAAAACATGTTACAAATACAACCTCCCCCACCTTTAGGGGGGACTTAAAGCATTCTCCACATCTTAATGCGCTCACAAACAGCACCAAGAAGCGAATGGGTGTTTCTCAAAACAGGGCTCGCCAAGCAGTTGTTTTTGTTGTTTTTGGTGTTCCCTTGAAATACCAGCCGAAAGGGCTCCACCACTTTGAGAAAACAGTCAAATGAGGTAACAACCCAACCCAACCCCATGTTTCCACGCCTCAGCTGGCTCCTAGCGACTCTCCTGGAATCTGTTGAAACGCCCCG